CTACTCAGCTACTGTAATATGTCTGTGCGTAGAATATGCATATTTTTGTTTGTAAATTGCGTCTTCATTTTCCGGACAGCAAACACCTTCGTGACTAAACTACAAGTAGCACAATAAAGTACATTGTCACTTACAAGTATATATGCAAATTACATCTAAATCTAACAAGTGAACAGTTGTACTTTATCTTCTCACTTATTCTATATTATCTGATTGTTAATTTGCGTCACAGCCGGCTACTTTTTTGGTACAACCGCCTACTTCAAATCATTCTGAAACCCCTGATATTGGCTTCAGTTCAGGCACCATTGTCTTTATCTTTTGCACCTTTTGGCATTGAGTGCAAGTGGCAATCTGAAAAAAAACCCAGTTAAAGTGGTTAAATGGTATTGTTGATTCTACGAGAAACTTATATAATCCACTTACAAACTCCTTTACATCCTCAGTGATAGTTCTCCAGTAGAATCGCTCAGCAATGTTTGCCTGGGTGCGTTTCTCTCCCATGTGCCCCCCTGTCGTCCCATTGCCATGAATGTCATTAAGAACATTTTGAATCTGAAACAAAATGCATTAAGATAGATTTGCATACTTGTTATCCACATGTCACTGGCATCCTCCAATATATATATGTATATATATATATATATAACTAACCTCATCCCGGGTAAATAGCACCTTGACCTTCTTTTCAATAGATTTGCCTTTTCCTTGTTTATACCCCAGGTAATATAGGGTGTCACTAAAATCTGTAACAAAAAATGTAGTTAGTGCATGCTTGGAATTTTTCAGAATATTGTTTGTTATCCCATTGCTGAGGAATTGTCAGCCAAACAAAAAATAAATCCTGCACAGTGGCTGAACATCAGGACCTATTAAGTCCAATTTTAGATGCGGTCTTGAAGAAATTCAAGATAACTTTTCCCATGTGCATGCATCCCAGTTGACGAGCTACCACTTGAAAAGGTTGATTGATGATTTAAAAGACACCTTATACTTTGCTAGTGCTTGGAGGACTGAAACTTATTTCAGCATTTGAAACACATCTCTATGTTTCTTTCGGGGGGACACTACAGTATCTGTAAGAGGCCCCAGGGTAAATATTTTAGAGAGGATGCGATCCGCTGAGACACAGAGGGTTGAGGTTTTACTTGACTAATTAATGCATTAATTTAACCATTTGAGTGGTAATGCAGCCTACTTTATTATTTTACTTTGTCTAACACCAGGCTTTTTTACTCATCAGAAGGAAAGTGCTACTCTCTCGACTGATAGTGTTACGCTCTTGACTGATGGTACTACTCTCTTGTCTGCCACCCAATGGGTTAAAAGGTACCCCTAGCCAGCTAGCCTGTTCTGTATAACTTACAGCTTCTATTTATAACAAACAATAAGTTGAAGTAGTTTGCCAAATGATACCAAACCAATGATAACAAGTAAAGATAAAATAAATTCCATGAAAAGCAAAACTATAAAACAAGTCAAAATGTTCATTAAACAAGACATGTATTAAACAAAAAAAACAACAGCAATTTAAGTTTCCATGAAAGTTAGTTGATATAAGTACCTTCATATTTAAAGTTTCTCGAGAATTCAGAGAGCATATGCATGTTTTTCTTCTTGGTTACTTTGTCAAGATTGCCAAAATGAAGAGGAGCCTGGCGTCCTGATTTTAGGAACTCCAGAACATCTTGCACAGAGGCCTTAAAAACATAATATAAAGAAATTGAACCTCGAATTGAACAATGTCATATTGAAATGCCTGGTTAAAACAACGATAATAAATACTAATTACTTGTGTATGCTGTAAGATCACAACTAATTTAATACTATAAATACACAACAGCCAAATCGTCAGCATGATTGCAGCATGAATGATGAAAATCGATCGATCATATCAAACTGAACAGACTACAAAGTTGGACATACCTTATATATACAGACTTTCGACTGAGGCTTCGCTACTTCAACACCAGCACAGTCAGCAATAGATGCCGTACTTGAATCTGTAGCCATTCGTAAAGAATATTTGTTGAAATATTACTTAAAAATCTCTTTCAAAGTAAAACGTGTTGTTGTAGCTTCAGCAGTTGCGAAATTCATGAGCCAACGTGGATGATGCACATCATTTGCGCATGCGCAGAACTGCGATAATCATGTATTTAGCAAGTCAGGAATTTCGCGTGACACCGGGCAGGCTTGAAAATATGCCTGGCCATGGTGGGAATTGAACCTTATGACCTTTGGAAAACTAGCCCAATGCTCTGCCAACTGAGCTATGTGGTCAGGTCGGTTCGAGTATGTGATATTTCGAAACTGATCTGTTTATAGTTCCATCGATATCAACGTATTCTTGTAATCATGATTCTTTGTGTGTTGGTGTTACATACTCAGGTGAATATGATGTTCTCAAAATGGACCTTTGAGACAAGTGGGGCGGATTTTCGTCCCCCAAGTTCCCTCCCTGGTGATGCCAGTGCAATATATGGTCATTCTAAAAGCATAAGTTTGGTTAGTGGCTTTTGAACCTTGGTGAGCAGTAGAGACTTGGTTCTTTTTTGAAGTTTGAGCTTTTCCTTTTATGTTAGCAGGAAAAGCTACCTAAATGGACAGCAAGGGGGCAGGGAAGTTGCCCACAAAGTAGCTTGTCGTATTCCACTGCATGGAAACCAAAGAATTGCAAGAGCTGCAGATTTGAAATTGGTGGTACTTTTGTGCCAAAAGAAAAACGAAAGAAAACAACATCTCCAGATGGGGCAGTTATTGTTGCAACATCAGCGGATGGAGTTGCCAAGATTATCTCTGTAAAAGCTAATTACAGAGAGAATAGAGTATTTGTTGTTATCGATGGTGATTTATCCTTATGCCATTATGAGAAGTGCAAAGAAGCACGATCTGTTTTTATTGCCAGCCCAGAGTCAGCCCATTTCACTTGTCCACACATCGTATGCCATAAAAATGCTTCTCCTATCTACCAAACGAAACTTACCTGTGATCAGGTCAAGTCATATCCATCAGATGATAACACGAAGGTGTCCCTCCAGAGCATTTGTCCTCCAGAAAATTTTTCCCACATTGTCCAGCTTTCAGATTCTTGCTATGCCATTTACACTGAGCCAAACACAGGCACACCTACTGGTTATACACATGTTCTCCAAAAGTCAGATAGTGTATGGCATTGCTTTTGCAAGGCTTGCAATAAGAAATCCGGAGCAACGAAACTGGTCAAAACAAAACATTTATGTCTGCATCTCCACCTGTTGTTTTGCCACCTAAACATGTCTGCAGAGCCAACCATTTCTGGACCTAGTCAACCTGCTGAATGTCAAGAAGAAGATAATGAAATGTCAACCAGTAGAGCATCAACAATAGAATTAAATCGAAGCCAGTTTGTTTTTTTTTTCAGCAGTACCTCAGGTAACAATATGTTTTATGTTACTCTGAGTGTATATCCACACTGGGCGAGCTTGAAAAATATGCCCTAACACGGTGGATTCCCGGAACCTACGCACCTTTGGAATACTAGCCCAATGCTCTTCCAACTGAGCTACGCGGTCAGGACGGTTCGAGTAAGTGATATTTCGGAACAGTATCTAGTTCCTTCAATACGAATGTGTTCTTGTAATATGAATTTTTTTAAAAAATTTTTTTAAATACAACAAGGCAGTGCGAAGATATGGCGATTCAAAGTTCGAAAAAAATCTATTTTTAGTAACAAAATGGCGGATTTTTCAGAATTTTAAGCGCCATATCTTTGCACTGCTTTGGCGTATTTTCAATGTTTTTACAGTTCTGAGATCCTTATAGGGACAATCTCTTCAAAAAAGTTCCTAGCATGCTCTTAGTTCTTGTTTATTTTTTTGGCGCCAAAGTTGGCACATCATTTTCCCACCAAAATGTAACAAAATCGAAAAACAAAAACGGTAGGATTTTTAGGAATGGCAAGTTCTATCATGTGAGGAAGTTTCGTGATATTCCAAACTAACGACAGTAAGTTATTTCTACGTGGCCGAATTTGCTGTCTTTTGTGCCAACCGTGTTCCCTTCTTCTGGACTCCAATTTTGCGATGCAGCAGAGATGGCCTACTACAGTACCGCTCAGAATTAACCTAACAAAAACCGCGGTTTAACCTCAGTTGAACCTCGGTTTGACCGCGGTGATTTAAAGGTTTGACCAAGGTTATACAGCGGTAATTTTGAGGTTAAACCGCGGTGACCGTGAGCTTAGAAGGGGTCATTATAAAAATTCCGTGCATGTGCTTTATAAATATTGACATATTTTGTAAACATTGAGGCATGGGGAGGCTGTCGCATTATGCCAGGGAGCGAATTGTCTCCTTACTTTCGACAAATACTTCAGTTGTTGGAATAACTAAGAGTTTAAAGGAAGGGTAAAGGCAAATATGTAGGTCTCTTCTTGTTTATTACAGTTTAAATATATGTTTTAGAATAAGTAAGAATTTGGCGCATGCATCAACTTAAATTAACCTTAACTCTTTAATATAATAAAGGCTAAAGGTTATAACGCGTGTACCTAAAAGGTAAATAAAATCTCGGCCTTTTAGGCACACACGCGTAATAACCTGGAGCCTTTATTATAAAACTTTATTATAATCGACGATCTGCTGTAGCCCTTATTACAGTATATAATTGAAGCTGACACCACAGCCTTTAAGCTTTTTCTTAGCTGTTATATTATAGCCTGAGTTAGCATTTTATTAGTGAATACATTTTATACCGCGAATATTTTACTGCTTTTGGTCGGAAAACCTTGGAATCAGAATGCATATTAAAACTGCGGTTAGCTTTTTGTCGATGCGTGGGCTAAACCGCAAAAAAAACGCAAAACGACCGCAACTGCAGTGTTAGGTTAATTCTGAGCGGTACTGTATGTTTTGTCCAAGCGAAACTGTGTGCAAACTTTGTGACAGCAATCTTGCTGGTCTAAGATTGCATCCCGGTGAAAATGTAAAGGATACTTCATATATTATAACACCATGCTGTATATTTCAATGAGTTGAAATTAAAGTAAAAGTGCGTTCAAACTCAAAATGCAAAGCCATGTACCAAGTTTGGCCTATAGAACAAGGTGAATAGAACACTGTTTGATCTAAAATCTGTTTGTGTCAGGGTGTTGGAAGCAAGTCAGAGAGGGCAAGTTTGGGAAGGCTGAACTCCCATAATGTTTTGTAATGGGGGCTATAATAACTTTAGCTTCCATAAAGTTTATTTCCGTTCACAAATAGCACAAGTCATACTGAAAAAGTGATGACTTGGTATAAAGAAAAAAGAAGAGAAAAATCTTGAAAAATGTCTGGCAATCTTAAAAATTTTCTCACTTGGTGCCAACAAATTTTCCCAGTCTTCCTACACCCTTTGTTTCTAAATATATTGACACAATAGTCAATACAGTAAATCCCCGTACAGTCGACTAAGTTTTCCTTCACAAGTTTTACTTGCTGGTGCATACAGCAAAAAATTGACAATTTTTCCTTGTCCTTGTTCAAAAGCTGGTCATGCAAGCTTTTCAACAAGGACGATTTTTCGTGTGTTCGGCCATAAACTGCTTTTCCTTGTCAATGACGAATTGCTCGTATATATACGGGGTTTAGTTGGATGCAATACAGTACTATTGTTCAGAAATAATCTTTTAAACTTATTTGTAGGTTTGTTCAACATCTGAGATAAAATTTTGTTAGCTGTTGAAGTTTTATTGCAATGGAGGGAACTATTTAAAAGAGGTGTGCCCATAACTACTGCCATGGACAGTAGTATTAATGTTTGGCTTCGTATTAGCCAGGTACAGTATAAATAATTATTTATTTTCATTTTACGTATTAGTTTATATAACAAACTTAACGTAATAAGTCTAACTAATATGTTCCTACAGGCGAAACTTCTTCCTAAATTGTTAATAAAACAAGTTACATGTAGGAACTGCTGTATTATACAAAGTTTTAAAGTGTTCCGATGTTAAATTCTTAGTGAATAATTTGTATATATATTATATGTATCAAGAATACGCGGAAGTCACTACAAAATCGTCACAAAAATTTATACCATAACTATAACCATATAACCTACTAAGGCTCCTCTTGTATAGGAATCACTTGATGAAAATCAAACAAAGTACCTTACCAGCTCGCTTTACAATGGTTTTTTATGCCTTTGAAATGCTGTCCGAGAGATCATTAGATGACGTCATATGTGGAATTTGTGGGACTGTCGGTCAAGTGTATTTTGGAGATGGTAACAAAAAGAACTGCTGTAGTATTGATGCAGTAAGTTCATTATTAAAAAATGTTTTGTTTGCCATGTTTATTGTTTTACGTTACTCTGGTTGGCAATCATTTTATAATCATGATTCCTTTTAATATTAAAGCACATGTGTCCTGCGACTGCAGGTTTCGGCTTGAATTTTTGTCGGATCTGTAATAGGTACACAAAAGTGCTGCCAAACAACATTGCAATTTTGATCTGCCAATTGGTCCCAATTGATTGTGCAATTTGCGGCGGCTTTTTACAAATTGACTTAAAATAAAGTTTCCTTTTTTATATCGTCTAAAGGTAACTAATTGTTGCACTTCCCTTCTGATATCTTTTGGTCGAAACATTTTATTTATGAGACTATAAATAAATGTTTCGGCAAAATATTTCTATAAGATTGGCAACTGAAACAATACAATAGATAACCAACTGTAAAAAGGCCATATAGCACCAAGCAGGCACTTTGCCCTCAAACGAGTGTCTTGTTATTTTTATATATAGATAAAGTATGAAGATGATAAAAGTGATGATCATCTAAGTATGCCGACGACTCTTGAGGACTTTATTTCCAGTCTGAAAGATATATGTATTGAGAAGATCATCTTTACATCTTCAAATCTTACAACAAAAGTAGAAGCATCAAAAGTACCACCAATAATTGCGCCCAGTCTGAGGGGAGAACGTGTTTATAATACTGAACTTCAGAAGAAAAGTGTGTATCTGGGAAATAAAATTTTAAAGAAAGATGAAATAAATGGTGTCTTTTTGTACATGAATGCTTCGCAAACAAATTAAACGTGCATGCATAAGCAAAGCTTGTGTTGAGGGCATCAGTATCAAGGGCAAATAGACCATTTCTAAATTTTGTTACGGCTTAAACAAAGAACACATGCCAACATTTGGAATGGATTTTCAACAGGGGCGGATCCAGGGGGTATCAAGTGTAGCTCAAGATACGGTCAGATTTTTCCGATTATGGATACTAAAATAGTTTTGTGGAAAAATTCACCATTAATATATTTTCACACAATTCATTTCTGTTTACAAAAATAGTGAAAATTTGAGTTTACTAAGATGAACGAGGGCAAATTCTTTCGTAAATTTTAAAATTCACAACTCTAAATGTAACATTAGACGTGTTTTTAAAGCACTGAATTACTTTCGACGATGAGCCGAGAGCTTTCCGAAGGCATAACCCGAGATTATGTAACCCGATCGGAAAAGTGTTTTTAAATGAGTCTACGGTGTTCTGATACGGTCTGCGGTTCAAATGTTACTAAAAATAGTAACTTAATGAGGTATTTGGATACCTTGGAGGGTATCCAGCCAATCACAGGACGTGTATCTATGACGTCGGATACCCTCTGATACTGTGGCTGTATTTTGATTGAGCAAGAAATGAAATAATCGTGAACCGCTCGGAAACTTCGTCTCATATTGCTAACAGCTGCATTTCTTCTAACGTAACTGAGTGAGTGATGGCCTTGCATAATTTCAGAAGACATCTTGAAATAACACTTTATAAATAGTGTATTGGATGCCAATTAGAACAAGACTATTACGAAAAGGATATGTCCGAAGGGGCCGAAGTTATGTTCGAGAAAATTGAGTAATATAGTGAAATATATGATATTGCTTGACCTCTCAAAGTTCATAAATCGCTATATTGACTGAGACTATTGTTAGGAATTAGGAGATATTCTTTCAATGAACGGAAGGGTAGTATTTTTGTTTTCATAGCATTCGCCTAACCGAAGATATTAATCTGCAAAGTCATATTGTGCAGCATTGCGCGTGCAATATGTTATTAATGTAAATAGGGACCGGTCGAGAATATTAAATGTACTCAGTCGCGAAAGCGGACTTTTCTATGTCAAAACGCCCCCAGCCACGTTTCATGAAACAGAAACTTGAACACTGATACCAAGAAGAGTTAATGTGTTTTTTTTGTTACTTTGTGTTTAAAATATGACCTTGTTAAGGCCAAATTTTAGGCCAGAATCATGGGCTCAGAACGCAGGAAATCGCATTTCCGGGCTTCAAATTTAAGCGAGACCTAGGAATATGATACGGTCACATTTTAAGCTAGATCCGCCCCTGTTCAATGCTTCTCTTTCCAGGCGATCCTTTACTGCTATACGAAAAAAATGCAAGAGTTAGATCTGAACATGTCATCGCTTGAGGCAATGTCTGATAACCAGCTGAAAGAACTGTGCGTGTACTGTAAAGTTGCAAAACCTTTCTCATTGTCCAAGGTAAATTTTATTATATAGACTATAGAAAACCCCATATATGAGACCCAAGGTTTTTCCAGGTTTAGATTCACATTTTATTAAGAAAAAACCCAAATCATTTTCCGAAGGTGTGGTAAATATTGGGCCCTACTTATATTTGCTGTAATTACGTACTGTACATTCTAATGACTACTATAGTTCCCATCTATCTATAAATAATTTATACAATTAAATTATGCACAAATTAGTCATATAAATAAAGAATGGCAGCTTATCTTTGATTTATAATTCTTGGTTTTGACTTTATTTAAAAAAATAGAAAATTTCAGCAGGTTCTTATATGCAAAAAGTTGTGTATCAGGTTCTTAAATTTTAGTTGAAATTGGAGCAGAGAAGTAACAACATGATTAACATGGTGTACACGAGTACAGGGGAAGAGGTTATTTTGCTGCCCTCAGAGTGACAAAACGTAACAAAGGAACGGTTTTACTAACACTAACCCTACTCCAAACACCAACTCTAACCCTAATCCTTACTCTAACCTAACCCTACTCCAAATTTGTTTCTAAACCAATCTTCAAGAAAAAAGTTTTGACGAAATGTCATTCTGAGGTCAGCAAAATAGTTGATGCCAAGTACAGACTTTCGATTGGATTTCCATTGCGACTAGTCAACATTTGAAGTGTAATTTTTAAATTTGGTGGCCATGCAGGAGTTGTATGCAAAACTTGACCCAAACATTTCTTTAACCCATTAAGCACCAGCGCTCTCCCCTTGACGAGTAAAATCATCTGGCGTTAGACAGAGTAAAATACTCTGGCGTTAGACAGAGTAAAATACTAAAGTAGGGTGCAATGCGACTCAATGGGTTAATGTAATCTATGTATGGAGCAATCACATGGTAATAATCTGTTGTTTTATAGGCAATGATGATCTATAGCCTGCACACTTTGTATGCTGTTTTGGTAACTGGGTCTTCTGCCTGTCATGGTTTTACACAGGTTCCAGGGAATACTGGTGGATTTTACCATATGGTGTGCATACATATGGGGTACTGCAATACAATAAATTACCTGTAATATTATATTTATACCACACAGATATAATATACTGTAGCTTGTCCAATCAAGAATTTAGGTGCAATGCATAGTAACTTTCAGCGAATTACATGCATGCCCCGGGAAATTTATAATTATAGCCATTTTTCTGCCTTAGCAAAGTCGTGGGAATAAATGGTGATAAATAAATGTTGAACACGTTAGATATCCAGACATCCACGTGTTTAAATTTTTTACACTTTTTTTACACTGTAGATCACTGCGGCTTCAAAATTTTTACTCCTGCAAGAGTCAGTGAGAGATGCCGCAGATCTTTATCTCTCCCTAAAGTATCCCCCTCATCTTTTTGTTTTGGATACTCCATGTGGTTTCTCTCGTCATGTTAATTTAAGAGAGCCCGACCTAGCTGCCATGTTTTGGGGTGATACCCTTGGTTGTTGTGAGAAACCTTTGCTTGAAATGCAACCAAATCTGGTATATTTTTTACAACTTATGATATGCAACTTCCTGCTGTGAAGCAAAATGTTTAGACTATGTGAAGTGCATACATTTTGAAACACATAACCACAACTTTGCCACTTAGCAGGAAAACATTCTTACAAATCCTTGCATGTCACACCAGTGCTACGTCACAAGCCGGAAACTTTACCCGGTAAGTGTTTCCATATGAACAGAACAAAATTATTTGGCTAGTTGAAATGTTTTTCGCTAACTGGGATAACTTTTCCCCATGTCAAAAGACCCTTAGAAAAAAATAAATTAATTGTCCAAAGTTCAGAATTAACTATTGCATGATCATGTTCGAAATAATCACCAATACCATTGGATGAGACAACGCGTTTGGGTTTTTAAATATTTTTGCATGAATCATGTTCAAAATTCACATCACACACAATTTCTAAATGCTTTTTAGGGAATAAATGTACCAGCGCTTGTAACGTCAGAGTACCATGCAGCAGATAAGGAAATGATTGATCCTGGAGATACCATAGCACATCCACTCACTGGTATGACACAGAGATACGTTTTGGGAGGTAGATTTCATGCGGCAAATAACCCACACAAGTCCCCATTATGTCGGTATCAACCATCAAGACAAGCTACCAGGAGTCGGAAAACAACAGGAAAAATGTACGACGACTCAGAAGTTCATGCATGCAAAATTTTTCTCCTCATTATTTTTACAATTACTTAATGGACTTTTACCAAAATGAGGAAATTATAAAACCAAAAGGCTACTATTTGGGATAGGGATACGTATATGCGCTTCATAGTTAAAGAACGCTAGTGCAATCGTTTGTAATTGACGCCATTTTGGTTGATTTTCAAAACATACATGGCAACTATTAAAAATCTACTGTATATTCTTCTGATTGTGCCAGAAATCGTAAACTATCTATAATACAGTAAGATGTTTTCAAAACAATCCAGTAATATTAAAATAACTCAACTATTTCGATGCAAACGGCTGGATAAAACTTTAAAATCAACCTAGATGGCGCCTAATAACACGTAGTGACGTTATGTGCAAGCAAAGAATATCGACTCACATGATCAATATACTGTATATTAATTAACGATACATTATTACTTTAATTCATGTTTCATTTTCAGATATGGCATCAAATAAAATAATTTAATTCAATATGTATATTTACAGACTTTAAAATTTCAATATTGCCTTTTCTGTCTTTAAAACATGAAAAATTTGAATAAAATATTGGGGAAATATTCCACTGGCATAAAGATATACAGTATGCCTCCACATTTAAAGAGTTTAAGAAATTCAAATTGTTACTAAATCAATTTGAATTTTGATTGAATTTATAATACATACTCCTTGAGGCATGTTTTCTGTTTATTCCGTATCAACGCCTGTTTATAAGGCAATTTCTTGCTCTATAGGACTTGCCTTTTTGCAAAAATTATGAAAGACCCATAAATCATGCATCCAGATATATTCCTTAAAATTGCTGTTTTGTTGAATTTTAAAATATGTGAATTTTAAAATATTTTCCTATTGGTTTAATACTGATTATATATTTCCACGACACTTGTTGTGGGGCTCAAGCTAAATTATTAAAGATAAGATGCAGTCCGGTTTGCGCATGCGCACATAGGAATCTCCTGCCGTGATATAAACACTTTAATTAGCTTTTTATTTCATTTTATGTTCTTGCAAAGCCCGATTGTTTTATCTTGATCATTTATTATACTGTAGAAGCATGAAAATATAAATAGTTGTCGAATAAAGTTCAATATTTTAAATACCGAAATGTAAAACAAAGGCTTTGTTTACATACAGACTGTACCCTACCTTTAAATTTAAAAAGTAAACTTCCTATTGAATCTATATAACATGGGCCAGTTGTTCAAAGCTGGATTAGTGATAACCCTAGGATAACATAAAAAGCAAATTTCAGGGCAGCTTGTTTATCAATTTGAAAATATTTCAGAAACATTGTCTGGATCGATAGGACTTTTCTTCTCCGAAGTTTTGAAATAAACAGACGTGCAGAAATACACACGCTGAAACAGCAGGTTAAATTTTAACCCAGGGTTAACGTTAATTCACCTTGGCTTTGAACAACCGGCTCCAGAATTATTGAAGTATTAAGTCTATATAACAGAAATGAAGTATTAGCCATAAGTCATCTTTTGAACTTGTATAATTATTACAGAAATAATAGAAAAAGTAGCTTAGGTAACGCTATTAAATATATTATATATACATATGGTGCACCAGTCAGTCTTCATGACGTGGGTTTGCATGCCGAAGGTTTGCATGATGTACAAAACCTGTAGGAAGAAAACAATGCATATATGACATTTTGACCAATTTTCTTTACATAATTTTTTTGTAGTGTTCAAAACTCACCAGTCCCCTTCCAGTACTTTTTGTAATCCAAGGCATCTTAAATGGTACCAAGTATTGCCCGGGCACTATATCGTTGTGAAGAAAATGAAAAGCATGTCAACAATGTATTCCTTTCTCAGCTTACGATAGATTTTTACTTTATCTAAATTGGTACCCTGTAATTATACCTTTTCTGGATAATCCGTTTCACAGAGTATCGTAGATGCCTCCTCTTTTCTGTTTCTTTCCTGTTTCTTTCCTGTCGATAGATAATGTCAAACAGATAGCTCAGTATCAGGATTATAAATGAGGATTTTTTTATCCTATAGTCTATACTATTCCTGAGGTTAATTGACGTTAAGCAGAGGCTCTTCATTTATCTGGACGTATTAAGAAGCAATCCTTTTCTAGTTTATACTATTATAGAGTAGTTAGCTACCTTTTTAAATGCATCTGCCGGTTGAGAAACAAAATAATAGTTAAAAATTGTCAATTAAATGCAATTATCAATGTTTCTTTAAAATTGACACCATGTTTACAGGCAGGTATAAAAGTCGGACCGGATTGTGCTCCGGGTCGGACCAAGTCGGATTAGGTCGGATCTTTAGAAAATTTAGAAATATCAGGTTATTCAGGGAAATGTTACTTACACAAATGGAAGTTTGCATTCTTTCCCGTGTTATTTATACAGCGTGAAGGCAAGGCCTGATTCCACGGGCGCTTTTTCTCGGCGAAATACGAAATATTTCGCCTGTTTCTTTTGAATTGTGAGCAATCAAGTAGAAATAATTTATTTGCGTAGTCACAATTCAAAAGAAATAGGCGAAATAATTCGCCTTGAAACAACGTGGCAAATCTGCAAAATGGATGGTGACGAAGGTAAAACATTTTATGTTATTAGATTTTTAGACCACTTTTTTGAAAATTATTGCATCGAACTGCCTTATCAATATTTTATTTCCTTTAATTCCGGACTAGCGATTCGGTGATCTATGGATCCGGTCCGACTTTTACACCTGCATGATCCGACCCGGTCCGACTATTATACCTGCCTCATGTTTACAGCCAAATATATAAGCAAAACGTACTGAACTTCAGACTTCATTTTCTCTTTGGCGTATCGTCTAAAATCTCTTCATTTTAGCATTATTTTACAGATAAAGCACTACACATACTTTTAAGTTTGTTTGCCAATTGAGAAACGTTTTGAAAAATACAAATTTTGAATTTAGTCATAACCTCAATATACGCATTATAGTTTGTAAAACGTACATTATGATACGAGTTATATATAGACAATTTACCATTTTGCATGTGCACCACTGATACGAATCTGCCTTGGCACTATTTGTTGAATCTAGATGTAAGTTAATAACAGATGTTGAATTTTTATGTAAATTATTACTGATATTGAAAAATTTATATATAGTTGATACTCAAGTTACAATGTCAATGCACGTTACGCTCTAAAATATTAATCTATTTATGCAGACTTAACATATTTATATATATACGCAGACGTATCCTTTTGACAATGTTCCCCGGGGAACACGGGGTGAAACATTATTCGCGTACACCACGCGGGACAACACGCATGACAACAAGATGGCCGACAAAACATAAATAGTATTAATGAGTGATGAATAATTCAATTTTAAACCTAAAACCCGGGGCTTTTTCAAACCTAAAACCTGGGGCTTTGTCATTAATATTCCAAACGATATGTGATTCGAAAGAAAAGCGACGACACTTACGTTAATCCGAAAATAAAACATCGTATTCACGAAGGTATGTGTCAAGTTTTTAATTCTCAACTTGGAGGCTTTTAATTTTCGGTATAATATATCATTTATAGACCTTCCGCTCGGGGGATTCGGCGAAATATTACCCTCAGTGATGATATTTCCCTCGGGGCAAAGCCCCTCGGGAAATATCATCACTTCGGGTAATATTTCGCCGAACCCCCCTCGCTCCAGGTCTATAAATGATAAATATCGCACAAAAAATTAAGTGTTATATATCAAAATCTAAGTTTATCATTTGTGAATACAATGGTTTTTATTTTAGTGAAATAGCTTATAGGTTTTGCATAGCATTTGTAAATTCTGAACGCTGATTGGCTAAGAGCCGTGTTGATATAACTCAATGTCAACACGGAAACGTCGGAAAATTTGTTTCTTTATGTTTCTTTGTGGTATATTATAAAACAAATATAAAACATTTTTTCCGTATTGATATACAGTTATATCAATACTCGTGGAATTTGGGAAAACACTTTGTTTTCCCAATTTCCACTCGTGTTGATATAACTGTATATCAACACGGAAAATGTTTTATATTTGTTAAATATACAGTACAGTATATATATAATTCATTATCTATATGGACGTTAAAGTACTTTAAGTTTTTCGTTGCAATTCGATTGCGTTACTATCATGCAGTTTGTTAAAATGTGAGATAAAGGCGAAAAAAAACTTTCTCAACTCACTATCTTCACCACATGTGTCCTTAGACGCGATCCCTGATCCTGCGAGTTCCGTCTCCTGCATGTCTATAATTATATATATAATATATAGTATCAGTGTTTTTTCAAACCTTTTTTTTGTTTCTTATTGGTCAAAAATAAACAGATAATTAACCGTTATTTTACGAACTCGAGTTGACTATGAGCTTATCGATAGCCGCCTTGACACCTTGTAACAGTTAATATTTTCTAGTTGATAGTTAGTCACCCTTTTCTGGCCCTGCAGTTTTGAACATTTTTTCCCCCCGACATCCATGGCCTATATATAAAATAAAAAATCTCCAAACTGTGAACTCTAGGTTTCTAATTACAACTCTGTGCATTCCATCATATGAAGTGGCCAAAACTGGGTAAAAATTCCGAAACGTGGGATTAAGATTTTCATAATGAGGGAATCCCCCCATCAGGGTCCATGATATGCACCACACAATTCGTGAAAAACTATGAAGTTAAACTATACATTTTCCATATTAATAATGCAGAACATAACCTTACCCAGGCAAACGTTTTTCTCTTTTGTGGCGTGAGCTTATTAAAATTCTGTTTTGTATTTGGCGTGAGTTTCTGAAATACAACACAAACACAATCAGACAACGCTTATATAGTAACATGCATTTTAATACAATTTCCAATTTTAAAGTGTGAATTTCAAAAATATTTCAGCTAAAAAAATTATATTGTTCTCTTAAAATCTTGACTCTGTAAAACTGTAATTGTAGTTGATATCTTCAGCAACCTGACTGTCTTCTACTAATTCGCCATCAGTGTCACAATTACTTGCCCATGCTAAACAGAAACATTCACAACTTCATTATGCCTATATATATTCCTTCATATTCCTTCCAGTTTCCGGAGTGTATACCTTCCATTTGTACACGAAGCATGTTCTCCACGGCCTCTAACGTTTCGATATCCTCCTGGAATAAGTTCAGCATCCCTGTGTCTTAAGACATTGCCCCCCTCATTGTCCTCGGGCTGATCGTCACAAATCTTGCAAGCTATATAAACAGCAAATAATTTATATCTTATAATTATAACTTAATTTATATATATATATATATTTATATATATATATATGTTTGAATATTTTTGCGTAAGCCAAGGTTTAATTATTGGAAATTAAAATTCGTATCAATTAATTGTTTTGCAATTATTATCCTATAGCAACAGGAATCAGTATTCAATTCATACTTACACTGTTTGAAACGTCAGGAAAAGCATCGACAACTGATGTGATAATTTCAATGCCAGGAACTTTATTTCCAGCCACATCATGCACTGTTACACTTGGGTGCAACCATGTAAGAATCTAAAAATCATATTTTCTGAACAGTAGATCGCGATGATGGGGTTTAAATTGGGGAGATGCATTAATCGGAGAGATGAGGTAAAGACTAACGATCAAAATGTAATATATTTTTGATTTGACAAGTTGATGTCCATGAGTAGGCCTACCTTAGCCTTAGGGCGAATAGAAGTTCTGATTCATCCCATGCATGTTCTATAAAGTCTGGTTCACAGGCTGGGGTGAGATAACAGACAAGCACGAGGAAAGCAGGAAAAAAGGTAAAACTAATAGGGATGATGTGCAGTGTCTCTCTTATCTCGCTCGTGTGAACTGGACTTAACATATATTTGAACTCGTATTGATTTCCTCAAAATAATTAAACCCCTAAATTCATGTAGACATAACAATTGAAAGGTAAACCTACCGGATCAGATTGATTCTTTATTTTCTTTACAATGTTATTTTCTAACTTTTGCATTGCAGAAGGTCCGGCAATCTCTGCTGCGGTTATCTCTTGACACATGAACAAAACATAATCGCAAATGCGTGGTGTTTTTCCACATGACAATCGTAACTATATAAATAAAAATATAAAAACAATGTATGGTTAATGATTGATTATAGTGCTGAAAGTAGGATATTAAAAACATTCCTTGCAATACATCAACATGCCATCGTGAGGGCAATTATCATCGACGAAACACCTTTCATCCACCTTGGCTGCAACTTTAGATTTTGAAGGAGTCCTTTAAGCACCTTCTCGACCACTTTGTTTGCATCCTCAAACATTTGTTCCCACAAATCGAAATATACGATGACCCACGCAAGACGAAGTCCATTGCCGCCCTTAAATATATAACGTGCAATAAAATAGTTGTATGCGCATCTCTCATTTTATAGATCTTATATTAAATATACCTTTTTATCTTCCATAAATAATTCCAAGTCTTTGAGTTGTTTTTCATCATGCGGATTGGAACCATCTGGATTTGCTGGCAGGTAATTGAA